AGTGCGAGTTAATTCTGACCTATGAACTAAACAGTGACAAATTAAGGGGTTGGTTGGTTCAAGAGCGAATGAATTCGCACTTGTAAACGAGCATTTCCATTACAAAACTGCGGGTACAAGTGCAAGTTGTTTCCGGCTTGTTCTGCGTGTAGTACGAGCCACAGATCGTCGCAAGAGAGAAATAGGGAAAGATTGCGTGCTATTTTTTAAGATGGACAAAGATTGCGAAGCGATGGGCAGAAGGCGCATCAATGAAAATACATGGAGAGATATGGCGCACCGAATGACAGAGATGGCGCACCAAGAGAGATGGATGGAGTCACAGTCTTCCCCCGAATACAACGTCCGGTCAATACAGCTGAATTCGGGTCATCTTTCAGTCTAAAGACAATTGTAATGAAAGTGCATTCTATATTCCGGGGAAGAAGGTGGATGGCGCAGGAAGGGAAAGAGATCGCGAACTGATTGGGAGGTGTGCCGCAGCGAGAGAGAGAGATTGCGCACCGATGGAGAAACATGACGCAGCAATGGAGACAGCAGACGCAACGATGGTTAGCGATAGCACAACAATGGAGAAAGATGGCGCACCGAAGCAGATAGATGACGATGGAGATAGATTCGGAAAGATAGCGCAGCGATGGAGATAGATGACGAAGGAGATAGATTAGGAAAGATAGCGCACCGAAGGAGATGGATGACGAAAGAGATAGATTAGGAAAGATACTGCAGCGATGGGGATAGATGACGAAAGGTCGGTAGAGATCGCGCATCGGTGGAGAGAGATAGAGAGAGGACGCTCAACAATGGTTAGCGATGACGCAGCGATGGAGAGACAAGGCACAGCGATGAACAAGATTTGCTATTGCACAACATCAGTTCCACTGAGTTAAACCTTCGTTAAGCATACCTGTCACCTGTTTCGTGCGATTCCACAATGCTGGGCGGCTGCACCGACGACGGCCGAACAACAACAAGACAATGGCCATGACGGGATCGTGCGGGAGATTGTGAGGCGATGGAGAAAGAAATCACGCAGCGGTGCGGTGGAATAACACTCGCCAGGGCTTCGATAGCGATGGCCAGCGCTGCGGTGGAGAGCAATGGCGCACAAGTAGAGAGCGATGGTGCACCGGTGGAGAGCGATGGCGCGGCGATGGAACGCGTTAAAATGCAGCGATAGGCGTAGCGATGGCAGCGATGGAACAACGATAGCGATTGCACAGCGATGGCACACCGGTGGAGAGCGATGGCGCAGCGGTGGAGAGCGATGGCGCAGCGATGGAACAGCGATAGCGATGGCAGCGATAGCGATAGCGCAACGATGAAACCAACATTGCGATGGCAGCTATGGTACCAGCGTTGCCATGGCGCAACGATGGCCAGCGCTGCAATGGGAGCGATGGCCATTGTCAGCACTGCGATGGTCAGGCGAGCGCGCCGGCTGCGATGGGGGATATAGCTTTGGGTCGCGATGGCGATGAGCTAAGCGCATCGATGGCGATGGTGCATGGCGAGCGTTGGCGATGGCGATGAGCTAAGCCCATCGATAACGATGGTGCATGGCTAAGCTCATCGATATCGAACGCCGTTGACATTTGCAAAATGTCCGAATGACAGCGACACCGGAACTTATAGATTTTCTGGTGTTTTTGACCTCGGCGCACAACGAATCGCCGCGCCTCGGCGGGAAATAAACCGTCGCCTGGACTCGGCGCACAACGAACCGCCTCGGCGCACAACGAATCACCGCACCTTATAGATTCTTGCGCCTGACCTCGTGCGTCGGATCATGTCGATCGACGGTCCAGATTACAACTGCGAAAATGACATTGCCAGGCCCTTGTTTTCGGGAACTATCACATCATTGCACGCCGGAGTAGACGAAGATTTTGGGACCACTGGCATAACAGTGGCTCCGTTCATCTGCGCGGTTGAAAATTGTTGATCGATGGCTGATAATTTCCTGAACCCCTTACCGTTTATAGGCCCTGGCGTTTTATGGGCCCAGGGGTGCGATACGCGAATCAATTCGGCCCCACCTTGATGGCGTTTTATGGGCCAAGGGGTGCCATATGCGAATCGATTCGGCCCCACCTTGATCCCGACGTGAGGCCTGCTGCAACAAAGTATAAAAGGCGTTGCAGCCCTCGAGTTATCGCTTTTGTTGGCGCTCCACAGATCAAGTCGCGCTATCGCTTCCACGCGCGTTCTCATATTTGGTCTTCAGCCCCCCCCACCTTCCGCCATAGCTCGCTCACTCTTCGCTCCTCAGTCTTCGCTCTTCCTAGCTTAATATCCCTCCACCATACCTGGTTCGGTGATTGGTTGCTCGCTCAACGCACAACGAAGGTAAAATCATATAACTTGAGTTGTCCTATTCTGTGTCCAACGTCCGAACACATTCCCAGATACCCTGTCTGTACCTGCAGCATATAATGCCGCAGCCGCGTTCTTTTTAACCCCGAATCAATTCCCGGTTTTGTTGTTTCGCCAGTGGACGTGCTCTTATCTCTTTTCTCCACCCTCCACCTCCGTCCGCCATAGTCGATCTGCGTTTCGCAGCTCGATTTCCTTTCGCCATATATATATATATATATACATATATATAGAGAGAGATATATTGCGTGTCAGTTCGCAGTTTGCGACGTACAGTGTTCGAGGAGTGACAACTGCGAGGTTATTCCCAGTTTTCCCAAGGTTAGACACATATTTCATTAAAGGCAGTTCTTTATTTCCACAAATGCGAGTTAGTTCGCACTTTTTGAGCAACACTACTGGAGAGTTGACAACCCAACCCGTGCGGCTTTCAGGTCTTCAGTTCCACAATTCCGAGTTAGTTCGTACTTTTCCCTAGTCCTGCGCATCGCCATTATTGTCTTGTCTACAGAACTGCGAGTTAGTTCGCACTTGTCGAAACCCTTCGCAATTGTCGATAAACCAAGACTTCAGTTCCACAATTCGGAGTCAGTTCGTACTTTTCCGTTGTACTTCGGGTTGCAATTGTCGTCCTGTCAACAGAAGTGCGAGTTAGTTCTCACTTGTCGATTCGCACTTGTCGATAAACCACATCTTACTCGTTTCGTGCGTCTTTGAGGTCTTCAGTTCCACAATTCCGAGTTAGTTCGCACTTTCCCCTAGTGCAGCGGGTTGCCATTGTTGTCTTGTCTACAAAACTACGAGTTAGTTCACACTTGTCGACACCCTTCGCACTTGTCGATAAACCACATCTTACTCGTTTCGACGGCATCTAGTTGGGTCGCAATCTTTCCGAGCAGTTATCGTCTTCCCTTCGAACTTCTGTCTTTCCTATCCTTCACCCGATTGTTGTGACTTCGTGTGCATTTCGAACACCTATCTCTTACGTCCTTTTCATCCTCCATTTCGTTAAGTCCGAGTTAGTGCGCACTTCGCTTCTGTAGTGGTCTGGGGTTGGGCGTATTAGTCGTCCGAGTTGGTCTGAGGTTGGGCGTGCTAGTCAACGGGTGGGAATACAATGGCGTCTGCAAAGAACACATCCACATGTGTTGGACCATCTGCCCCCGGGGAGGGACGACCTGTACAACAACCTACTCCTCAGTATATGCACTTAAAGGGAGCACAATGGTTTTTGGACTTCGTTGTTTAGGGGGACCTTTTTGGGCCAGCTGTTTTCATGCGACCCACTTGCTTTACAGACGCTGGGGGAGCGGTCAACGTTGTTCCTCTCGGTACCGTCGTCTCGTGCGCGAAGACTCCTGGAGGTTTGCTCAAGCTGCACACTAACGGCATGTACGACGAGTGCAGACTGCCTATCAGAGGTGTTAAAGGTGTGCTGGTGACCATCAAGAGTTTCGCGGGGTACGGCTCGAACATGCCGTTGTGCTCTCACTTCAAAGGCCTTTACGATGGCGGCAGCAAGCGTCTTCCATCGCCAGAGCAATATCTCAATCTCGCGCTGATGGTGCCGAAAGAACGTCCAGGTCTTCCGCCAGAGCATGTTTTCCGGCTTCTGCCACCCCGTGAGGGGTCGTCCGGCTTGGCTCAAGAAACTCCAGGTACGGCAGTGGGGTGCAGGAGTCCGATTCAAGACGCTGGGGGTCGGGTCAAGGGACGCAGCGTTCACACGCAGGTCGGCCCGGATGCTCCTAGGAACACGTCAGACTTGGATTCTTAGGGTACAGGGACTCAACGGGTCGGTACTCCGAAACTTATCAAGGTCCGCTGCGGCGCCGACACGTATTCGCTTCGAGATGAGACGAGAAGAGATTCAAGCAGATCGGGGCTAGATGTTGGAGGGAATGAGGCTGAAGGGATGGGCGTTGTCCGCGAAATCTCTGGCGGGGAGCAGACTCCCTCGGAGAAGAAGAGCGAGCGATAGAGGATGGTGCGACAGGAGGTGGCGGAAGGAACCCTCCGCATGAAGAGGATGAGAGGAAAAACGGAGGCGGTGATGGGCGGGGATGGAGGTGGCGACGGAGAACGTGCCTCGGGAAAGAGGCCGATGAAGGAAGAGGGTGCAACGGCAAGTAAGAAAGCGAGGAGGCCCGGCGGTTTGACCATCCGCGAAGGATAAGCCGCGGGTGGAGGAGATTCGGCTGATCCAGGCGCTGTGGCCGCGAGAGAACCTTTAGGAAAATTGAAATGGAAAGTGGCAGCTGAAGAAGCAATTGACAGAAGAAACCTCGAAGGCAGAAGACCGCTGAGGCGGCGAGCGGTGGCGAAGGGCCTGTCGGTCAGGAGTGCGAGGAAGCGGCAGCGTTCTGGCTCGGAACGATGTCCGTGAAATCGTGGAGAAGGAGCTCCCCGTCCAACTGCTCATCGACCCCAGGAAGGTCTGCGACATCCTGCCTTGGGAAAGATATTACAACCACCGCAGTCTAAGTGGCGAAACTGTGGACGACATCAAGGATGCGATGCTGAGTCAATTCCGCGAGAAAAAGGGGAAGATCTGGACGAGAAAACCTCTGGTTTTGACACCCATCTACAAGCCGGTGACGCGTAGGCCGGAGCAAGCTGACAGGGTTCACAAAGATGTCTTCAAGCCAAAGGACAAGGACAAGTACTACTATTACCCTGTTAACGGACAACACACCGTGGCTGTTGTGAAGGAGTTGGAGGGTTAGCCAATATTCGTATTGTGGAAGATGCACTCGTGGCCGGCGAGAGTGGTGTGGTTCTCCGACCGAGATTTCGCGGGCTATAGGCTGGTCAGTCTCAACGAGAACACGAGACACAAGAGGTCCAAGCAGCGATCGCAGAAGGCCGCGTTCTTGGACATGCGGGAGGCATGGGAGAAAGAAGGAAGGTCGATGGCCATTCAAGGGAACCCTTCCGGCAAGGAGGCCGAAAAACAAAAGTTTATCGATTTCCAAACGCTGATTTTGGCAAAGAGTCCGAACGAAGCTCACTGGTCGTTGGCGGAAAAAGATTTGCCGCTCGCCGACACGGAGTATTTCGCTGCCGTTGGCAATGCATTGAGGCAGTGGATGCCGCTCGTGACGGCCGGTGATGACATTTTCCGGAAAGCCATGGAGTTCTACGCGAAATGGGCGGAGGGGAAGTTGTTGGGTGGCGACGACAAGACGCCATTGTCGAGGCCGGGCAAATACATGCTAGACAAATCTCCAGGTCTGCAAGCAATGCCGGAAATGGGCTCGAAAGGGGCGGCTGGTGAAACGAAGATGGGGTGGCTTGTCCGGGTACCTCCTCCTCCTACCAAAAAGAAAACGCAAGCGGACGACAAGTTTTTCGTGGTCATGAAGGAGCCAGACATGTTCTGTTGGCAGTGTCTCGCCGACATGACCGATGTCGAGAAACTGTCGATCCTTGACGACATTCTCGTGCTAAGGGGAGTGTTCGTGCAATCCGCGGGCGGCCATCTAAAGCGTCAGCATAAACCTGGAATTAAAGACATGGTCGCGACGAGGAAAGTGGACCGTGTGATGCTCCGTACGTTCCACTACATCTTGTTCCTTGAAACCGAGGAGAACAAACGTGTTTGGCACCACGGGAGCCCATTTTTTCGGACCGAGGGTAAGCTTCAGGAGGAGTTCGGGCCGCAGGGCCTCACGAAACAGGTGTGGGTCGAAATGCGAAAGCATTTCCAGGGCGCGGTGGAGTACGTGAACACTTGCAAACGTACTCTTCCGCACGAGGAGTCCATCGACGACGAGAAGAGATTGTACGATGATGACAGATTCCCTAAATCTTCCGAAAAGTCTGTCCGTTCCATCTTGCGACGGACGGAAGAAGAAGTTCGAGACACGATCAGGGTCAGCAGGGATGTGAGGCACATCAAATGGCCGGACCTCAACCAGGTGACCAGCCTTATTCCTTTCGCTTTCCTGGCTTCCCAAGCTCACAGTCATGTCACTGCGATCCATGAGGTTGTGCGACATTACGTGTGCAACCTGTACGTCCTCGATTTGTGTGATGCCACACTTCTCACAGACTGGCGAGAAGACGATTTCGCCAACTTGCAAGGCCTTCTACAAACACTTTCGCCAACGCACTGGGCACTTGTGATCTTTTTCCCCTCTCGTTGGGAGCTCAGTTTCTTGAAAGGCAAGGCCAGGCTTAGCGTCCATCACGTCAGGACAGGGAAGTGGGTATGTAATGCACAAAAGCATGCCAATGTCGGGGAAGACAGTATGCTGGTTGAGGAGTGTGACCGCGTGTACGTGATTTTTAATGGCGAGAAGCTGGAAGACAACACATTCGCAGTCTACTCGGCCAGTAGCCTGACAAAGGCTTCCCGTGCTCATGGTCCAAGTCCGGCCAAACACAAGGTGATGGGCTGCTTGAAAGCTGTCTGTTCGTCGGACCCATTAGGACAGGTTGTGGCGTATTTCGACGTGGCGGAAGAGGAAAGGTTCTCTCGTAGCATGTGGGAGGACGGCGGCGTGACAAGTTCTCAAGGACCTGCTTACGGGGAGATGAAGCAGAACCCATCCCTTCTACTTGGTCTACTCGAAAACTTTTGCAAACCTGGTCAAACTGTTTTTTTCTTTGGGAAGGCGCATGCGTATGTCGTGTGGGAACTCCTGCGCACCGGTCGGAACGTCGCCGCGTTGGAGACGGAGGCGAAGATGATCGATTACCTTCACGAGTTCGTGAAGGCACGCGTTGCAGACACTCGCAATGCTTGCGAGTTTGTCCAGACCACCAGCGAACGAAACTGGGATCCCAAACGAGACATGTATGGGAAATTGCCGGGGAACAAAAGGACGGACGTTTGGGACTTCCTTTTCGGACCCAGACCGCCTGGTCCGACCGACCTCGAATACAGTCGACGAAGAAACCTAGTGTTCGCTGTGCTCAATGGGTACCACAGTGCACCCAGGGAGTCTGTCTCGCACTTCCTGAGAAGGCTGGAGCACGTTTACTTCACGTTGGCCGAACCTCTCACTCTCAAAAACTACAAGTCACAGTTTGACGAGGAGGACCCTTTCGACGCTAAAGACATGGAGGAGCTGAGCAACTCCAAAACCTTCGATTTCGAGTCCATGCCACTTCCTCGGGTGGTTGGACAGGTTGGTGATGAAGAGGAAGGTGGCCCTCGGAGATATAGCACGTCCCCGAACCAGTCGACGACCAATCGTCTAATGACGGGGAGGAAGAGAGAGACTATGATCACAAACCTTGTGACAGGGTCCCTGTGGACCATTACACCTGGCAGAATGACAGACTCTACTTCTTCGGCAAGCATCACCGGTTCACGTCGGAGGATGTCTGGGGACACAACGTGGTCTGGCACCCGAGGATATTCCAACCTGCTGTGAGGAATGAAATATGGGTCATGGCAATAAAGGAGGCCGATGGCAAGCGGAATGGACTGAAGAGACTGGGAGCGGGTGCATTTATGAGAAAGGCAAGAACTGCTCTGGTGGAGCATTTGAGTCTCATGAACCCCGAGAGGAACGATCAGGATGTCGATGCGTATGCAGAACACAAGCTACATGAGTTGTACGCCAAAAACATGTTGGAGTTTCGAGCGCCTTTCTACACACTCGAAACGACACCGTCTCGTGGCATTAACTGGCGCATGCCGCAACCTCCGCCGGCCGGTCAGCATCCGTGAGGGGGTGGTGGAGGAGACGAAGGAAACGGCGGAGGTGGCGGAGGAGACGGCTCACCGTTTGCTGGAAAGGGGACGGGCGAGACATCGTCGGTTGAGAAGGCGTCCGACGGTAAGGGGTCGGGCGGGAAGGGGTCGGACGGAAAGCGTAGAATGTCTGGGAGTCCCCAGTATATATGGAAACTGACCCCCACTGCGTAGGGAGTCGAGAATCTGACATGCGAGACGAGGCCACCCTGGCGTCTGATCAAGTGTGAGTAGATTCGCACTTGTCTGCGAGGAGTTTGTTTCTCGTTGCCCAGGAGAGTCCATCCCGCCGTGCGCAGCAGAGGTCTCCTGTGCTCAACACCTTGCTCCTAAAAGAGGGCGCGTCTTCGTTTTGCCTGGAGGGCGGGATGCCTGCATTGCGAAGGAGTGAAGGTGCGACTTCCGGTTCCCTCGGCTCGGGCAACCGCCACAAACTCCGAATACATTCGGATTTGTTGTCGTCGCCCTACGCCATAAGTGCTCCTCATGCAACAGTTCCGCGGGGCCAAAAAAATGTGACGTCCTGGCCCCCGCATCTTCAGTTGGACACAGGGTTTACCCTGCTCGCCTCCTTTCTCATGTGTTGAGACTCGAGACTGGCGGTCTCGCGATGTGCTGGAAGGGCCCGCTCCAGGAGCGTTGGAGACCGGGGGTAGCGAGAATGAACGTCACATCCTGGGGAAGACGAGCGCTCTCCAAGAACGCGTGCTGTACATCGAGAAGAGGAGACTCAACGCTGGCAGTCTCACAAAGTGTCGGAGACCGGGGGTAGCAAGAGTGAACGTCATGCTTCGGAGGGTGCGTCCGTGGACATTAGCAGCGAGAGTGCAGGAGCTCCTAGGGAAACGCATGTTGTACAGCGGGGAGAGAAGACTCGACACGGGCCGGCTCGTGAAGACGTGAAGTGGCTCCACGCACGAGCGCTGGTAATCGGGACGTCCGAAGAGGTTCTGCCCAGTCGCTCGGCTGTGGCCACGACGCGAGAGGGTGTCGTTAAGGGAGGTAAGCGGACGTCCGTGCAAGCTCCCGTTCTTGGCGACGATGAAGACGAAGAAGAACCCGCGGTGGAAGCTCGAGTTCACGGCGATGAGAAAGGCGGAGAACCCGTGGTGGAAGGCGGTGAGGTGACTGTCGACATCCGGACGGATCCACAGCGGAAAGATGGTGATTGTTCACCCACCCGTTGAGGTGAAGAACAGGGTGGTCGAGCGTCTGTCCTGAGCATCGCTCGGGGAATGGTGCTTCATGAAGCCATAGAGTTGGGTGACGACTCGGCAGCCACCGAGCTGGTTAGTGACTCAGGCGTGGCCGAGATGCAGAACGTCGAATCCTCCGTGGAAGGCGGTGAGGTAGCCGTCGGCATCAAGATGGATCCAGAGCGGAAAGATCATGATTCTCCGTCCACCCGTTGCGGTGCCGAACAGGGTGATCGAGCATCTGTCCTCAGTACCGGTTGGGAAATGGTGCTTCATGAACCCATCGACTTGCCAAGCGACTCAGCTGCCACCGAGCTGGTTAGCGACACAGCCGTGGCCGAGGTCCACAACCTCGAATCGTCCGTGGACGTTGGCGCAGTGGCGCGACAGGAGGGCGAGTTCCCTCAAAGTGCTCCCGAGCACGGTAAGATTTGTGAATAGGACCACTCACATATCTGTCACTGGCCAGCTCTGTGTTCGTCCAAATTGATGTCATGGGCTAATGTACCTGTTACCACTAGTTAAAAAAAAACTTGTGGGCTATGGGTTGTTTTTTATGTTCTACAGGTGTGAGGTTGTTAATGTCCCTTCCCATGAAGCCATTAAAAGCCGTGCGCGAGAAACATCTTTCAGGGAGGTCGTTGGCCGCTTCACCGAAGAAGTCGTCAAGTGTAGGGTTGTTTAAAAGGGTCCAGATGCCTCACCTTTCCCAAAGAGCTGTCAAGGTTCTGAAGGCTTGTGGAATAGATAAGGAGGAAGGTCTGCGGAAACATTTGGCTGCGTCTATTGAGAGCGTTACTGCTTTGTCTAACGGGTCTGATGACGATGGCAAACCGGGTGTCTTGAAAGACCCGTGTCCTAAGTACATCGCGAAGGACACATTCAACAAGCAGGGATACAACTTTTCTGGGAAAAGGGCACACAATTCTTAGCCATTCCACCACGGGGTTTGTGCTCACTCCTCACACTTGTTCGTGGGTGTTTGTGCAACTGGGGTACATCATGTTTTCGCGTTCCGTTTCCTACTGAGGAGCTTAGCGCTACGGACTTGAGAATATTGCGGAATGTCTGTGGAGATTACAGCAACGGCCACGAGGTGGTGTGCTCGGTTCGCAAAGGGGTCAGTTCAATTCTGTTGAGCAGAAAAAGTCTTCAAACTCTTGTTCAGGGGGAATGGCTTTTCGACGAGGTGGTGGAGTAGTACTTGGCCTTGCTTGCCAACGCTGCGTTGCCTGGGTGTCCCTCTCTTTACATTTTCACTCTATTTTTCTATACCAAGCTCGTCCGTGGCGGCTATCGACATGATAGGGTTGCGAGATGGACAAAAGATGTGGATATTTTCTCGCACGAGATGGTCTTGATTCCCTGCCTCCTCGAGCACATCTCCACTCGGGTCATCTCTTGGGTACAACCTCAAAGTGGCGGCCCAAACCCCGAACACATCCTCAACGGGAGGCGGTGGTCGTGACCCACAAGCATCCCGCTGCCACAACTGCGCCTGCGCATCACGGTCCTCCTCGGGTATGCTGTGGTTCACCCCCTCGCATATAGCGTCTGCCTCTAGGCCACCCTCGACATCCAATATGGACTCATCCTGAGTCCACGGAACAACCAAACCTCCACCACCGCTCTGAAGAGCCAAAAGTTGCGTGTACCAACTTCGTGACCTTTGGGAATAGCAACCTGTTACGCTTCTTCGTGTGAATGCTCTCGTGGATGGCCCAGTTCTGCTCTGCGGGAGAGGAGCACGTCCACATGTACAACACACGAAGAGCGATACGCTGAAGCTCAGGAGCACAGCCGCCATACTGTGACCACCAAAGACCACTCTCAACGGTCTCCTGCTCTCCGACACACATCTCCGCTGCGGCGCATGCCCGCACCCCTCCCCATGCGCAAGTCGATGTGCACGTATGAAAGCCCCGCAGCTGCAACACAGCGTCTCGGTACTCCTTCCGCCGCTCATCAAACCCGATCTGCGACAGAATGTACCGCTCAGCCTCCCTCACAAGTCGTTTGTCCTCGTGCTTCACCACACCGCTGTAATACTGCATCCACCTCCTCATGGGACAAAGGAGGTGCGCCGCAGCATGCGCAGGGTCACACACATGAGCGACGGTCTCCTGCACGCACCAGAAAATCTGATCCGCCAATCCATCCTCTAGCGGCCTAACAGCCGCCTCCACCTCCCCGGCCAACCGTCCAGTCCACTTGACCACTCGAGACATGCATAACCCTCCACGACCCATCTTGCGCAGCAGATCATAAGCTGGCTCCATAACGGCACGCAAGATGTCCATGGAGTCCCATCAACTGCCATGCCGGATCTGCCACCGCACCCATCGCGCATGCTGCCTGAATCAGCCTGATCGACGTAGTCGCCCAAGGCTCCCTGCACCATTCTGTCCCATCCACCATCCGCTCCAAAGGACGCCGCACAACATCCAACCGCTCTAGCATAGCGTACACAGAAGCGAAGCGAGTCTCACAAGAGTACAACAAACCTTGATAGTGACTCTCTCTCCGGAACAAAAAATCAGCTCGGCCGTGCATTTTTATGAAATGCACCACCGCTCTCGCCCACACAATAATGTCTACGCACCATGGGCCCGCTGTCCCGATGTCCGACATCAATTTGTTGCACACATGCGCTGCACAGGGAAGCCACATAATCCGTCTGTACTCAGGCCGCATGTGAGGATGAGCCAAAGTGTTGCCTGCCTTTACGTAGGTTGACGCAGAGTCTGTGCAAATGGCGTTAACCTTGTCGGAACTGAAGTCGTGCAAAACCGATATCCACCTCCCCAACACTGCGACCGCATCATCACCCTCCCTGTTGAGGGTGCGATACATCATCACTCCTCGAGCACCGGCTGCAAGGAAGTTCAGGATGGGTTTCCCATCACGAGACTTCCTACCATCGGACACGATCGTCCCCCCTGTGCGGTCAAACGACTCCTGTATGTCCTTGAGACCCGCAACAAGGTCCGTCGCCATCTCAAGCATTGTATCCATCGATGCGACTTCGTTTTCAGAAGGCCAAACCACGGGGACTGAAGCGGGTTTGTCCCTTAAGTGTGCAGTGTACGCCTTCCACGTCGAGCTCCGAAAGATGTTGAAGGGAAGCTGGTTGCTGTACAAGAAGCGCAACCACAACTTCCTGTGTTGAGCAGCCCAGTTAGGCCCGAACACCTCTTTTATCGCCGGCTGCCTCATCTTCTTCCCCTGCTGCATCGTCGCACCAACCACACCCTTCCTCTTCCCTAAATTCTAACCACCCTCACCGACCGGCAACTTGCCTGGGCGCTGTGAGTATGCAGCCTCGACCTCCCCCTCAACCCCCGTGGCCCAGCAATCCTCTCCCTCGCCATCCAAATGCGGCCCGCGCTTGAGCCTGGCCAGTCCTCCTCTCATCCACCCAAGGACCGGCAAGCTCCTCGTACTTGCGGATCCGCTCCAACCACTTTCCGTCAAATGCGTAACCGCTTGTGTAATGCATCTCCATAAGAGCTTCATCGGTCACCTGCGAACATCCCTTCATGCTACAAAAATGTCGCGCTGCCCCATGCCTGTTCACTGCCACTCGTTCCCGCAGAACACGCACCGAAGCATCCTCTGACCACGGAGCTTCTCAGAACGCTCCTGGCCAACGAGCACGTATTTGTAAATGCAGTTCGAGTTCTTCAAGCTCGCCTGCGTCTCGTCGCTGGCCTGGATGAAGGTGTTAACTTGACGCTTCGCCATTGTCGCCGCACCAGTCGACCCGTAAGAAATAGCCTTCAGCAAGGCTGCGTTCACCCCGTTCCCAACCCTCAACTACCGCCGAAATGCCAACCGGTCCTCCCGAAGAAACTGTGGTGTCCCACCGCTGCCAGCCCATCTCCGCCAACCCGTCGTCGGTCCACAGGCGGCGCGGCCCTCCCTTTGTTTTTATTTTATTTTTAAAGCTATATTCTTCTCTCCATTTAACCTCACACTACGCACCTGCTCCCGACCTGCAGGCGGGCCATACCGGCTAGGGGACAGCTGGTAGCACCAGGGACCATGCCAACAGGACCAACTTGAATCCTTGTGCCTACCGGTCCCCCCCTGTCCTCCGTTCCAGCGCGCGGCACGGCCTTCCCTGTGAGCGTGCGCTCAAAGATTTCAGCGCGCGCTCCAACTTTTCAGCGGGCGCTCAAATTTTTCAGCGCGCGCTCAAAAAATCCGGAGCGCGCTGGTGCACTCGTCGTCATCATCCTCGCCATCCCCGATGTCGCCTACAGCGTCCTCTCTCTCTCTCTCTCTCTCTCTCTCTCTCTCTCTCTCTCTCTCTCTCTCTCTCTCTCTCNCTCTCTCTCTCTCTCTCTCTCTCTCTCTCTCTCTCTCTCTCTCTCTCTCTCTCTCTCTCTCTCTCTCTCTCTCTCTCTCTCTCTCGCGAGCGCGCCCTACTGCTCTTTCAGCGTTTGAGCGTGCACCGACGGGAACGAGTGCACGCTCATCCATGCTGCGCTATTAACGGTTTCGACCGTTTCATCGTACCCGACTACCCGTTCGCTTTTTTTTTTTTTCCTGCGGTTTTCAGGTCAACACAACCCCCACAACCCCGCCCCCACCCCCTCTCCCTTGCCTAGGACCCATAAACCCGACACCGACCCTTCCCCTCCAAGGTACACACCCCTTCCGCGAAAGCGCTCGAGGCGCTCAAGGCGCGCTCGAGCGCGCTTTTGAGCGCCACTCAAAGAAACGAGCGCCAGGCCAGCGCTCAATCAGCAAGCTGTTTCACAGGTCCCGACCGCATGCGGCAAGAAAGCCCGCGGTTATGACCGCGAGTGATACATAGACGCCCGCCAGCCGACCAAAAGAATGTCGAACAACCGTGGAACGTGCAATGAGCTGCCGAGACGACGTGAAGTCCGGCTGTGTGAATTCCAGGTGAACTTCCCCTCCGTAGGCCATCTCCAATAGCAAGGTACCACACAATCCAACACAGCCCGCCACACCCGCTCACAAGATTGGACGTGAACAGCACCCGCCCACACCACACCCTGAGATCGCAAGATAACCACACTCTCCGAAACAACGGCGCGCGCGAAGGAACCACCGACCGCTTCGGCTCAGAGCCGGATGCCACTGCCCGCCCAAAACGTACCAACAACAAAGTGCACCGCCTCATCTCTCCATCGAGAAATGCGAGTGAAGAGAGAAATGAATGCACCACGCATCCAACACGCTCAGACGGACGAAAAACCTCCACCTGTCCACGGGGGCGCAAAAGGAACACACCCCTTCCCCCCTGGATCCACATGCGCCTTATGCCGCGGGCACCACCAACAAAACTCGACGCAGGGAAAACCCATGAGGCAGAGGACAGTAGCCTTCACAGCCCAGAACCTAAACGCAGCGGAACCACAACGCAACAACGTGTTCCGTCACGGTGTACAGCATACCGAGACCACACCATGGGGGACACGACGGGCACAAGCGCGCATTCCAACAAGTCGGGGGTATGACGGGCCCAACCTCGCGACGCCGTCGGAGGGTGCATCACGCATCCCACAAGTCTCCGCCCTCACATACGGTAAGCAGCAGGTGCAGGGCTGAGGCCACCTGCGCCACCGCTCAATGGCGCCGCTCCGATGGTGAAGAGCGCAGAGCCTCCTCACCAAGTCGTGACACCCCCTCAGCACAAACGGAACGCATCGTTGTGAGTGCGGACACGAAGACGACACCACAACAAAGCCGCAACCGCTCTCCCCGAAACCTACGGGATGAGGGTGCCGAAGCTGAGAGTCAGTGATGGGCACCTCCGCTTCCACACCCTGCAAACGACCGCCAATCGGACCGCCATCAGTGATCAAGCGTCAATTGTCGCAAGACGATGAGCGAGGGTAAACGCAACGATCCACAACCCGGCACCACGACATAGGAAAGCCCCAACAGCCGCGACCGCCCCAGCGACGACCGAGCTGTTGTGAAATAAGCCCTCTGAGAAAGACGACCATGGACCCGCACGGCGCCGCAAAAATGTTCGCTCGACCACCAAAGAACTACTCACCCGTCTCTCGCAAACTGGAAACCACCCAAAGCGTGTGTAGAGAGTCCCTCGTAAAACAAGTACAAGGTCCCAAAATCCACGCCCGGAACGTCGCCTTCATCGACTCCAAGGGGGCTGCTAAGCACGCAGGCCCCTCCCTATAAGAGTGCAAACGGGACTCCGAACCGTCAACCACCGACTGTTTGGGACATCCATAGGGTGCTCACTGAGCCATCCGTCGAGGGATCTGCACATATCCCTTTCCAGCAAGCTGACTGAACAGACCCCAATGGCGATGTCCCACTCGGGACCTCGTCCCTTTCCGCTCTCAATAAGACGCCTCTGGACCTTGGATCCTGGGAGACCCCCTTTTCTTGGGGCCGTTCCTATGCCCGAGTGGAAGTTCGCGGTATCTGCTGCCCCCACAAAATTTCGACACCTCAAAAGTCCGTCCCATCTCCATCCCTTCCTTACACAAAGGGATAAGGGGAAGGGCCGGGGAAAAAGAATAAATAAATTAAAAAAACAAAAAAGAAAGAACAAAACAAAAGGGACGAAACAAACAGAGAAAAGGCCAAGGTGTGGGAGTGAAAAGTTTACGGGAAGTCTGGCAGAATCTTGCGTCCGTTGTTTGGTTATGTATCGGCGAACATGACCGGACACGCACTCTAGAAAAAGAAGGGGGGAAAGAAAAGTCAAGGATGACTTGACAAAATCGTCATTTCAATTTGTGTCGGCCCCGAAAAAAACCGTCATCCGGCAGAACAAGCGAGGCCGAAAACTCGACGGCCATAAGCATTTCCGTGCATGTCCCGGAGAACACCATAGAGCCAATCAGGTACTACCTCCAGTGAAGCAGCCCGCCATGATCACGCGCATGTGCGGGGAGGGCCGGATAGGGCAGGAAGTGGGCCGTTTGCCCCCGCCATGAACATCATTGTGCGCACGTGTGGGGGCGGGGGGGCGGGGCACAAAGCGCAGGAAGTGGCCTTTCTGTTCCAAAAGCAGGGGGCCGCGCGGCCCCACCATGACTACGCAGTCGCGTGGCGAGGGCCACGTAGGGCAAGAGGTGGGTATTTTGTTCCCAAGCCATGATACTACACACACACATGGGGAGGGCCAGATACGATGAGAATTGGCTTTCCAGGTCCCAAACACCAGGGGCATGCTTCGCACGCCCCCACCATGATTACGCTTGTACGCAGGGGGGGCCAGACACCCTCCGTCTCTCCCCCTCTACTAAAAGTCTTCCGTTAAATTGATTGAATACTTGCTTGAGCAAACTTTTATCTATAGATTCGTATAGAATGAGAAGATTCAAAATTTTGTTTTCATCATGAAAGAAAGGTGAATCCAATAGAATAAAATAAATTAAAAAAAAGAAAAAAAAACATATACATACTAT